ATTAAGAACGGTAGTAACACAACCTTAGTAATAAAATTGAAAATGTTTATGTCATAATCACGGGAAGAACCCAAGATAAATGTGTGTAAAGACGGCAAGAAAGATAACAAGATGAGAACAGTGGGCAGAATTGGAGGACTGCTCTACTTTGCTACAGGGAGCTGGTACACCTTTGATAAAAATGATGGGCCCAGCCTTGTGGAGCCTCAGGTGAAGCCAACTCCTGCAACACTGGCATCTTATACTGTCGCTGGTTTGAGTCCTGGCTGCTCCTTTTCCTACCCACTTCCTGCTGATACCGCTGAGAAAGCAACAGGAGGTGACCTGAGCCACTGTCACCCTCATGGGAGACCCAGATAGAGTTCCAGTCTCCTGCTAGGACCTGGCATTTGGAAATGCCTCTGAAGTGCATTTGAGAGATCTCTGTCTCCCTAACTCTGCCTTCCAGTAATTTTGTTTAAACATACATGGATAGATGGACAGGTGGGTGGGCAGATGGATGGAAGGACAGATGGAAATCCACCCTAGTTTTTAAGTTGTCTGAGAGAATGTCTTAGTCCAGCTTGTGCTGTAACAGACCCTAAGGCTGAATGCTTTATAAATAAGAGACATATTGAGTTCACAGGCTGGTAGGTCCAAGAGCAGGATGCCCTTTGGCTCCTGGTTGCCGGCCTTGTGCTATGTTACATCATGGTGGGGACACAGAAAGGGGAAATGGCCACCTGAGGAAGAGACAGAACAAGAGAGCCAAACTTGCTTCCCTACAGCCCACTTGGGAGCCGTAACTAGTGCACCCTGGGTCCTGACCACTCTACCCTCCCGGTACCGTAACTGCTCAGGGACCACACCTCAGGCACACAATCCTGTCAGGGCATAGACCATACTCAAACCACAGCAGAGGATGCAGGCTGCAGAGCAAAGCAAGGGACACAGGCCTGAGTGCTAGAGAAAGGAGGGTCCCAGAAGCTGGACAGGAAAGCAGGCACAGTGGCCCCCCAGACTTCTGGGAAATATTTGGGGGGTTCAGGAAGAAATAGATTAAGGTGAGCCCCAGGCTTGGACATGGTGAAAGGAGAAACCCAAATCATTTGCTTCTGATCTGTTCACTGGGTTCCATCTTCTGACCAGAGTTGGGAGGCTAAGAGTCCAGGCTTGGCCAGGGCCTGCATAGAGCCGGAATCTGAGGAGCTAGGGGAGGAGGAACCGCAAGGAGAGCAGTGGTGGGCACATCGTCCTAACAGAAAATGTGGAGGAAAAGGAAATTATTCACGTAGACATTTGGTAAAGATGGAATCCCTCAATGAGCTTGAAAAAAACCTTAAGTTCAGGCCCTAAAAAAGACCTCATGTTTGTCCTTCCCCGGGTTCTTCACATGTGAACATTTTATCCTGTTGGCTTTTTCTCCCTCTTTTGCTCATTTGCAATTTGTGCGCAATGCATACTTCTCAGTATGTCATAGCGGATGCCGCCCACACGTATGCGAGTGTTGGCTGAACCATTTCAAAGGTGCAGACACAGTGGACCTGCTCCTGAGTTACTCCATCATGTATTTCCAGACAGTAGCGCTTCTCTGTATAACCGTAGGAATTGAAACCATGGCAATGAGAAAATGAACCTTGACAGGATTCTGCTGTCTGGTCCCTCCGTCCCCTGCAGATTTCATCAGCTGTCCCAGTAATGTCCTTTACAGCAAGAGTCACGTCACCTGTGCTCCAGGACCCAATTCCGGAGCAACTGTCACATTGACTGCTGTAGACTCCTTCCGTCGGAAAGTGCCGGGGTCCTTCCCTTTTTGGGGGGGCTTTGTGGTTTTAAAGAGCAGAGTCATTGTGTTGTAGATACCATTGGGTTTGAACTATCTTTTTTTCCTCGATCCAGTTCAGGTTTTGAGTTGAGTTCTTGGCAGAATTGTTACTGAAATGATGTTGGTGTTTCTGTCAAGGACCATACAATGTTCCTTGTACCTAGTAATTATTTTAAGCAGAACAGGAGCTTGATATATATATATATTTTTGGATTTATTTATTTATGTGAAAGGCAGAGTAATAGAGGAGACACAGAGATCCTCCAGTTCACTTTCCATGTGGCCACAACAGCCAAGGCCAAAGCCAGGATCCAGGAATCCCTTCCTGGTTTCCCACCTGAGTGGCCGAGACCCAATTTGGGGCATCCTTTGCTGCATTCCCAGGCCCACTGGCGGGGAGCTGGATGAGAAGCATAATGGCTGGGACTAGAACTGGTGCCCCAATATAGGATGCTGGCATCTGAGGGTGACTTAACCCGCCCGCTGCACCACAGCACCAGCCTTAACCATAGTATAGTTTTTAAAATATATTTTTATTTGTTTGAAAGAGAGAGAGAAGGTGAGAAAGAGATCTTACAGCTGCTGCTTATGGGTTAATTGCCCATAACAGTTGGAGCTGGGCCAGGCTGAAGCCAGGAGCTGGGAACTCCATTTAGATCTACGCCATGCAGGGCAGGAACCCAAGGACTTGAGCCATCACCTACTGCCTTTCAGGATACACACTAGCAGGAGGCTAGAATTAAAACAGCCAGGGCTTGACCACTCGGCATCCCAGTATGGGATGTGAACATCCCAGCCAGGTCTTAACCACTGTGCCAATCGCCCACTCAGTAACAGTTTTACTGAGATAGAATTTACCTCTGGGAAGTGTGGGGTTCAGTGTTTTTAAGATGTTGTCACCACATTGCACAATCATTATCACATTCCATTTTAGAACACTCCTCACTCCACAAAGACCTCACACTCACGTATGTCATGCCCCACTTCCCTACCTTTCCCTCCCTGCAAACACTGATCTGTTTTCTGCCTGTGTGGATTTACTCTGGACGTTGGAGGCCACGAATGTGTGCACTGGGCAGTGTTCTGTGTCTGGCTTTTTTTATTTAGCCTAATACTTAATGGTTCACATTTTTGTTCATTTATTTAGTTGAAAGAGTTTTAGAGAAAGAAAGAGAGGAAGACAGAGATCATCCACGTGCTGATTTATTTCCCAGATGACTGCCATGGTCAGGCCTAGGCCAGGCTGGAACCTGGAGCTTCTTCGTGGTTTCCCATGTGGGTGGCAGGGGCCCAAGCATTTGGCCACCTTCTGCTACCATCCCAGGCACATGAGCAGGGCGCTAGATCAGAAGAGAGCAGCTGGGACTTGAAGGGTGCCCGTGTGGGATACCAGTGTCGCAGGCAGTGGCTTTACTCATTTAACTGCAGGCCTGAGACATATAATGCTATCTACAGCTATGATCTGTTGCAATGAAAAGGTACAAAGGAAAACTAGCAAAGGGAAAAAGCTAGTGGGAAGCCGCCCAGAGGGACCAAGTACAAGTGCCGGGCGTCACCCAGGATACCCTGAACTTCCCGCAGCATCAACTTGTGACGGTGCCTGGGAACCTGTGTACTGCACAGGCTCTTCAGAGACTCAAGGCCTAGGTCCCTGCTGGGAGCTAGTCCCACGATACCCCCTGCCCATGTGGCCAAGATCCAGGCTCCCAGGAAGAAGGCAGGTGTCTGCAAACACACTGCATAGTTTGTGTAATCTCGACAAGATTGGCCAAGCATGCTGGGAACACCCAGGAAATGAAGCTGCTCTGTCACACAGCCTGCTGCGTGAACCCTTCTTTGCTGAGGTGCACCCAGCAAAGGCATTGCCAAGTCCCCAGGAAATCCCACCTGCAGATTTTCCCCCCAGAATGGTTTGCCAAAGCAGCGGCAGCATTTTCATTCCCACTGTGTATTCATGAGGGTTCTGATGTCTCCAACGTGCTGGAGAACATTTCCTGTCATTTGTTTTTAAGTGTGAATTGTCAGGCTCTGCAGTAGTCCGGAGTGAGATTTCTAAGAACAGTCGTGCCAGCCTAACCCCTTATTTCTTTCCCTGCCCCTTTTCTTTAAAGTAAGCAATTTTATTCTGTCCTAGCTGTACCAGGACACAGTATGTCTCTGTTTTAGCCTTGTTTTCCATAATATCTTCATGTGATATGTGAATATCAATCACGGAATCTGGGCAGAGGGAAGGAACACTGCACTAACTGCATGGCAGATGCCTCAGGTGCTGACGATGGCACCCAAAGAGCAGCGCTGTACCCAGCACGGAGGCTCCTGCTGCTGGCCTCAGCGCAGCCGTCTCTGCCCTGTGCTGGGGGATAGGGGCCACACACAGAGGATGGCCTCTGTGCAGCAGGTCATCCACAGCAGCAGACTGCCACATGCACGTGCACGCACAAACGCACTGAGTGATGAGAGCTGGTTCCAGAAAGATTCTGACAGCATAAAGCGGTGACACAGAAGTTTCTGGGAGTAGAGGCCAAGTCCACACTTACAGGATCTCATCCAGATGCAAGTCTGTCCTTAGCAGAGTGAGTGCTTGTTACAGAGTGAGTGGTCAGCCAGAATAGGTGTGCATGTGATCTGGGGACTGCCTGGAGAAATGTGTGGGTCTGTGGTTGCAGAGGCCGAGATGGGGAGGCACTGAAGGGCCCAGCAGGTGCCAGCTGGCAGCCACCGGTGTCTGGGGCTTCCCATAGCCAACATAGTAGTTCTCTTGGGCAGGGACCTCACCTGTCCTTGCTTAGGCTCCTTGTCTCCAGAGTGATTCAGGGTTTGTCCTGTTAGATGACAGCAGGCGCTCTTGATTGATGAAACTTGGTCTCCTTCCCCACAGAGGATGACTTAGGCCGCAGCAAACCAGTGTGGGCTTCATGGAAGAGGTGTCTTTTCTCTTGGGCCCTGAAGGATGGTGGCTTGGAGGCAAGCCAGAGCTCTCTGGGTCTCCTGTAAGAAGCCTATGGGGAGACTGGAAATGTGGAGTTCTCTGTGGAGAATGGCTTTCCAGGCAGTGGAAAGGAAGCCGCTTCCCTCAGTTTGCAGTTTTGTGTGTGTGTCTGTGTGAGATGCAGTTTAGGGTCCTGGTGCCGAGGGAACGCTGGGTGAGTGGTGCTCGGTGCCCGAGTCCTCACCCCGTGCTCCTCTTCTCTCGCAGATGATGCAGTTTGCCTGGCAGAGCTACAAGCGCTATGCCATGGGCAGGAATGAGCTACGTCCACTCACCAGAGACGGCTACGAAGGCAGCATGTTCGGTGAGTTGGTGTCCCCCATGTTGGTGCCGGGAATGCTCGCCATGTCCCATTCTGTTTTCTGCTTCTTTCCTCCTTAGCCACAAGCCGGTTGTTCCAGGCCCAGGGACAGTGGGGAGGATGGAGTCAGTGGGTGAGGGGTGGATTCCAGAACTGCATTCCTCCTTCTGGACTGTTCTGGAGGCTCCCTTGGAATGGGGTGCTGCTTATAGACCTTTGAGATGCCTTGGTGCAGTGTTAGGTTGACTGCGTTCCAGCAGCAAAACTTGGAGCTGTGGGCCCACAGAGGAGGTGAGCAGAGATCTGGTTTGCTCTTGCAGAATGCGGCTGGGGAGAAATCAAACCCATTGCCAACAAGGCTGGGCACCTCAGGGGTTGTGGGGGCAGGGGTGTCTCCCATGTGCTGCCTGGGCGTCCACAGAAGAGCTGCACAGCAGGGTTGCATCACAAACCAAGAGGTGGCGTCCCCCAGGTGGCCTCCACACGGGTGAGCTGCCAGGAGTGCGTGCCGCAGGAAGGGTGATAAGGACCTGCCTAACCGGTTCCCAGTATAACCTTTCTGACCCACCAGGGCATAGGGTGGATTTGAGTGACTTTATGTAGTGTTTTTCCAATGATCCGAAAGGACAAAAGGAAAGCAACATCAAGGTATAAAGCAAGCAAAAAGGCGCATGCTTGGCACAGACACGCGATCTCTCTCAGCATCTGGTCTACTTCCTGTGTGTTTCCCTCTTAGGTACCCTGATCATGTCCTTTCCCTGCCTTTCCCTTGAAGACGGCATCGTGTTCCCCTGAGTCCTCGGGATTTCTCCTGAGGCGTGTTACATTATGTGTTCTCAGTGGCCACTGGATGTGCTCTGCCAACACTGGACAGGGGTTCGTTTCTGACTTGCTGAAAGTAATGCCAAAGTGGTCAGTTGTGCATAGAGTCCAGAGTGGATTCCTAGAGAAGAAGTCCCCGGGTTCCTTGGGAGGCAGCAGGCGGGAAAGCTGCCCTCCCCTCTCTCAAAGCTCCTCACAGCCACCTAGGGTGCTGACAGTCAGGGTGGCAAGCTGCTGGTTTCGGGACGTTGCCCAGGCTATCACAGGAAACACTTCCGGGAGGAACTGGGCTCTGTCACATCTCATCTGATCAAGTTTCTCAAGGTCTGGGATTGAAATCTCCATCCTCCAGCTTCCCCTCCCACCCCTGAGCCCGGTAGGGTACAGGGTCACTGGGAGTGCTAAAGAAAATCTAGAGCTGGAACCAGGAAACCTGGGGAAGGTCCCCACACTGTGCTGAGCTGTGTGGCCAAGTCCAAGTGCCTTACCCTCTCTGGATGCCTGGTCATTCATCGTTCAGACCGGGCCTGCCATGAAAACAGAGATGAGAGCATATGAACATGCAGAACATCCCAATGGGGCGGGGCAGCGGGGCCAGGGAGGTGGGAGTGACAGACGATTTCCCTTGTAATAAACGAGGATGGCAGTTACTACAGTGAGTCTCTGTGGGCTCCGTGGTCCCCTGGGGGTGTTTGTAATCCCGGAGTGGCCTTGGGAGGACCCTGGGAGCCCAGCACCTGCCACCCTCCTAGCCGTAAGGAGGACCTTCCCTCTTCTGCCAGCTAGGCAACCCCCCTTGGTTGGCTGGCTCCTGGGAAGGGGGGAAGCAGAGAGACGAAGACAGGCAGCAGGAAGGGAGAGCCAGTGTGGATTTGCCCACCCATTCACTTAGCACAAGTGGGTTGGTTGCCATGCCTAGAGTTGACTGCCATGGATGCAGGGGCCACTGGCACCAGGTCAGATGCCAGCAGCTCTGCCAAGGAGTGTGTTGGCCTCTCTGGGGTCTGTCCAGAGGCTCTCAGAGAGAGAGAGGGAGACATGCAGAGGTTGTCACAGGTCACCCTAGGAATGGTTCTTGCTGGTGTGACTGCTACATTTCTGGTGCAATTGCTTCTCGGCCTTTTGGCTAAGATCAAGTGTACATTTCTGGTGCCAGATAGACCCAGTTGAAAATTCTTGGTTGTGTGACCCTGGGCAGGAGCCTCTCTCCCTAAAGCCGTTTCTCTGTGGAGTGAAACCAGTGGTGACCTTGGACCCTGAGCTCAGGACCTGCCTGATGCATGAAAGCGAGGGAGAATAGGTGGGTGCTGTGACTATTGTTGCTGCATGTGAGTCCTGGGGTGCGGAGACTCATAGCACACCCACAGTCTGGGGCTGCAAGGTGTTCTCCCAGCCTGGGACGTGTTCTGGGAGTGATGGGCTATGGAGGGACTTTCAAGCTCTGTTCCCAGAGACAGAGGAGGAGCAGGGCTCAGCCACTGGCTGCACCCCCACAGCTGATGGCTTGCATCATTCCTGGGCTTGCCCACTGCTGTCTTCAATAATCTCAATGTAGCTGAGCCCTGCAGATCCAGGACACTTTGGGTGTGGCCAGCTGAGGGCAGCACCCACCCTGCCTTGTTGGGTGGAGCTGGGCCCACAGAACCAACCCAAGCAGCCTCCGACATCCCCTGCGTGGGCTGCACATGGGTGACTGCAGCCTCAACCCCAGGGCCTATGGGGTTGTATAGACACAGAAAGGGTCATGAATTCCTACTGGGGCCCACTTCGCTGAGGTTCATGGGAGCAGCAGTGAAAGGGCACCCCCTGGGCCTGGACCTGTTTTCTGCAGCCTCTCGCCCAGTGGTGTCTCTTCCCTCTCACTTAGCACCCGCCTCTGGCCTCTTTCCTCCCTGCCAGCTTTGTGGATAAAACCTCTGGGTAAAGTGTCCTTCCAGCCAAATGCCATGTCCCAGGCAACTGGGCATCACTGAGACTTTGTTTTACCCATTTCCGGCTCAGCAGGCCCTGTCGGAAACACTCCTAAGATCTCTTATGGCCACCAGCAGAGGACACAGCCTGTTTCTGGCTTAGGCCCAGCTGACCCCCGCCTCTGTGCCTCCTCTGAGACACGGCCAGATGGGACAGTTAACGAACATCCAGGTGGCAGGAAGAGCAGGGAGATATTTTGTATCCTGGGTGGCCTCGATTTCTGAGTCCCATGTCCTGGCCTGGAGTGACAGAGAGGAGATAGGCCCAAGGCCCAGCTTTTGGCCATGCCCAGAGCAGACGCCTCACCTGCTCTGCCCTCCTGACACCCAGCACGCTGAGAGTCAGCAGACAGATCTGGAAAAGTAGCCGACCTGCTCAATCAGCACAGCTGACCCTGCTGAGGCAGAGGTGCTTACCTGGCCAGAAACAACGTCCCCCTGCTCTGAGCCAGCCCTGGGATCACCGAGAAAGCCCCCGATTGGATTCCGCCTCCGCCTGGAGGAGCCCCGATAGGGCAGCTGACTAAATCCCCATTTGCTGCGATGATTTATGGCCTTGGGAGAACTAAGAGGCAAAATGAACACAGCATGCTTTTCAGATCACAGGCTGGGAGTGTTCGGCCTTAGCAGAGAGAAAAATCATCTTTGCCTTGTAAATGGAGCCAGTGTGATGTTGGAGAGGGAATTAATCCAGGCCCCAGGATGTCGTTTTTACAATTGCTTTTTGCTGTGTGGCTGAGCAGTGTCTTCTACAGACTGCTCACACTCTCCCATGGGTGTGCACACGCCTGTGTGTACATGTGCCTGTACGCCAGCCTGACTGGGTCTTTCATGGGAGTGAAAGCTTCTCCACTGGCATGGCTCCCTCATAAGCTTAGCTTAGCCAGATCATGTGAAAGCCCCCTGCTTCCCAGCCCTCTGCCTGTTTCTGCACCACCTGCTCTAACTTTGTTGCTTGTGAGGAGCACTTTTCATCTCAGCTTGAGTTTAAAGCCCAACCCTACTGTCAATGAGCTGACCACTGACTTCTCTGGGCCTCCACTTACTGCCCTGTAAAATGGGGGGATGGCACATGGGGAGTCCTCACCAAACAGAAGACACGTTTCTTCCCCCACAGGTGTGTACACCCTTCCCAACAATTTTCACCTCTTCTCTTTGGTTGGAACCAGAGCATTTTGTGTTTTCTGTAGCAATTCCATTCTCACTTCTGTGAGTTTTGGTGTTCCATTTTTCGTGGAAAAACTTGTGTCAGCTGCCTTGGTCCCTGAGCCTGACAGACCGGGTACTTTGAGTGCGTTCTGTTTTTGCAAAAGGACCGTTTGCCAGCCTTACAGGCGCTGGTGATGTTGCAACTCATTGGCTATTGCAGGTTGGGTCTCTATAGTCCCGTGATTTGGCAGCCCAGAGTCCAGCGACAGTAACAAGAGGAAGTGGATGGGAAGCCCTGGTCACGGGGACACTTCCCCAGCATAGGAGGGCAGTGGCACGGAAGCAGTGACCTCCCACGTTGAAGGACAGGCAGAGCCAGCAGGCGCTAGACAGCTGCTGCCACAGCCCCTGGGTGGTCTCCCTGCGGCCCGGAGCCACAGTTCCTGGGCCAGCTCCTGACAGCTGCCGTCCCTTGCTCCTCAGGTCCCCGTTAGTGACTGCCACAGCAGAGTGCTCGTGCGTGACAGCCCACAGAGCCTCCCAGCGCTCGAGCTGCCGACCACATGCCCCTGTGCTCTGCCCTCTTCTCCCACAAAAGCTTATTTCCCCAGCAGTGTCTAATTAAGATGCATTTTGGTCATTTTCTTTCCCTCTCTCTTGTTTTTTAAAAGGCTTCCCACCAGCACAGAGCATAATTTATTACTCTACAAGAGAGTAGCAGGTCATTGGGAAAATAAAAGGAAACTGAAGGTTTTCAGAGGCCTTGGAGTCTGGCACTAGAACCCGCAGCCATGGGAGCCAGCAGCCTCCTCTGGGCCTGGTCTCCAGCCACAGGAAGGGGCTTGCGTTCTAGGCCCTCTGCTCTTGTGATTCTACATTGATTCTCTGCCCCCACCCCCATTTCTCAGAGCATACTTGGACTCTTGCTGATTTCTCTTGGAATCTGAAATTTTAGCAACGAGTCTTGTTCCTGCCTGGAGCGTAGTGAGTCAGGGTATCTATTCCCAGAGCAGGTTGCTGGGATGCACCGGATGATTCATATTGAAATTGACATTCCCTCCT